AATGTTCATCCGTGGCTCTTGATGGATGCATGTTTGCTTTACTGCCACTTCAGTCACTGAAGTTCAGTGTTTCATGTTTACCATGAGTTTGGCTTTTTAGCCATTAGGAGGCAGTAATGTGCTAATTATAATTGACTATTTTTAGAATAGCACACTAGCCCTGCACTATGTAGGCCTATACTATGTACACTTCTTGCATGGTTTAAGTATGCAACTCTAGTTTAAACGTCAGTTTATCCAGTAGAATGTATTATACAGTCAAAATATTTGATTCCTAGAATTATTGTAAATATTTACTTTTTTCCCCATTAACTGCATGCCAAATGACACACTATACACTATGCATGTATACACTATGTACTCAACCATGTAGTGTATGAATTTTATAATGCTATTTTGTCATCATTAATAATTGGAGTCTGATAGCCCCTCCCCCTTCGCAACGTAATTAAAGCTGCGCCAGTTGAGCGCATGGAGTGTCCAACATTCCACACTTCATTTTTTGGTTAAGTGCATCATCCGGGTATTTAAAGTGCACCTTTTCTTTTTGGAATTTTCAGTGAGAACACACTACTCGCACTATTTATACTACAAAACGTCATCACAGAACAGGCTAGTGCATAAGTACTCATTATGTGAATAGAATTTCAGGCAACAATTTAGACTACAAATACAAAATAACTTAATTTTCTAAAATGTAATTATTTAAATTATTATTTTTGTGGTCAGATCATGTGACAATAGGGCTTTTCACTTGAAACACCCTGCGTTCCATTCGGAAGGGCCCATCCCTATGCCCTAATCCCTTCAAAGGGTTTACCCTCCGGAGTGAGAGCTTTGAAGGGTTGAAGGGTGTAGGGGACCAAACAACTGTTTCTTGATAAATTATACAATAAATTTGAACTGTTTCATCCTGTGCCCACATGGAGGCGCTGTCATCATGCAAATAATCTGTGCAAAGGATCATGGGGCCCCAAAGTGTCCATCAGTTCGGATCGAATCGAATCGAAGGCCTTCATTCCGAAGGGCCCTTTGAAGTGGCCAGTTTTGAGCACTTCGGTTTGGAACGACCCTTCAATATGGCGGCCATGATAGTTTCCTCTTCGAAGTGCCCTTCGATGGGCAATATATCCCGTTTGGAACGCACCAACAGTTAACCTTGAGTCATTCCAAACCCCCGATGAATGGAATTCTGGGTAATTTTGCTTAATGTTTCTTACTGCTCATAATTTACCCAAGGTTAACAATTAATCTTGAGTATTAATAAACAGACCTTTCAACACTGTACAACCAACATCGGGCCTCATTTTCAGTATTTACGTTCTAATTTGCATATTTGCGGAGTCCGTGTCATTGATTGGATGAACACAGCACCAAAAGGGCTCTAGCAGCGCATTCTCCTATTATTGCAAAATGTACTATCAAGTTTTTCTGATTCGAACTATAAAATTAAGAATAAAACAGTCTCTTCTTCACTCCAATTCAGGAGTTTTCTGTCACATTTTGACATTTCCCCTCAAACACTGAAAGGTCAATTCATACAACGCGCGCTTTTTGCATAATGGACCAAAGCATGTGAATATCGGCTAAATTGGCTGACGGTTGCTAACCATCTAGCCGTGATATTCTTACACCGCATCCTTTGACACCACAAAAGTGCTGATAACCTTGTTCCAGAGCAATGTTTCGTAACCCGGGATAAAAGCGGCGCTAACCCCACTTCTAAATTACAAGTGTGAAACAGGATTAAGTGTGAAACAGGATTAAAAACGGGGAACGATGATAACACGGGGATAAGTGCAGTGTGAACAGTCCCTAACTTCCCTTAACTAATGCATACTCACCTATTACTTTTTTTTAAAAACAGTAGCCAGTAATAGTCTATAATATGCAGTGTTCAGAATGACCAATAAGATGACAAAGGAGTGTCTTCTTAAAGAACATTCATATTAAACAGTGTGAGTAAATAAACTCAAAACGCTCTTGTAGTGGATGCAATTCAACTGCAATTTTTATGGCAATATAAACACATTCAGAAACAACATAACAATCTGTCCATCATTCATCTACTTTTAATGCAAACAAAACACCAGACATGATTTACACAAGTGTCGTGAATCAGTCAGTTCAAATTCTACAATGGTCGGCTAAAAATGCTTTGGCAAAAGAAAGCTAACAGCTCAATGTCCACCTATGAACAAGATTTAAACATAATTTCAGGCCATATGAAGAAGAGATCACTGTAATCACTTACAAAAAAACACTTCGCTTTTTAAAGTAAACCAAATCAACAGATACAGGTTTACGTTGTGATCTAAATGTTACTAAATCTTTTTTGTGAAAACAAGTATTCACAGTGGGTGACTTATGAGAACCAAAGCTGGCTGTGTTTCAACCAACCATCCAAACAAACCAAATAAAAGTTCAGCATGCAGTAATTAAGGCAAGTGAAGGAAACATGGGGGAAGAGGTTTTTCTTTTGGCAGTGGCATAAAAGAATCATAAAAATAAGACAATAATGGATCATAAATATAAAATAAAATTAAAACTGAAACCAAACAGCTTCACATTCTTTGAGCAGACAGAAATCTGCCTGAAGTACCTATTGGTTCCATCATGAAATGAAATATGAACATCACAAATCATCTTCAAACACTCAATCAGTTTGAGTGAGCTCTTAAAGGGACAGTGCATCCAGAAATTCTGAGAGAAAAAAAGTCATAATTTCATCCCGAACCAATTGATTTTGTTTTTTTCCTCTGAAATACAAAAGATGTTTATACTTTTTATACATTGCATTTAAGGTGTACTGGCAATCTCAGAAAAGGACAAAAGTAGTGCATACTTCTTCCACTATATTCCAAATCTTCTGAAGTCATACAGTCCTTTATGTGAGGAACAGACTTAAGCCATAATCCAATTTTTTTTTCTTTTCTATTTTTATTATAATAGTAACCAGCTTCATGAAGAGTTTAGTGTTTCACAGAAGAAAGAAAGTCAAACAGTTCTGAACATCACAAGGGTGAGCGTCTGATGTCTCATTTTTGGGTGCACTTTCCCTTTAAACAAAACAACATTTTGCTTTTATCTGTTACTGAAGCATTTGTTAGCTTTCCATATTTGAAGTTTGCACATAACAGAATGAAAGCGTATCCTGTACCATGCGGTTTTCTGTACCTGTAGCATGCATCAGGACAAGAGAGACCACCATCAGAGCGCAGGTCGCATGCTTGCCTGTCTGGAGACTTTTTACCAAATAAAAAACACAAAACCCCACATTCACAGTGCTCAACAATCACATGCATTCATAGTTCACACACCCACTGCCTGTACGCGAGTTATTCCATCAAGCACACTCGTGCACCTTTACATCGAGAACTTGCATGATGGTGGCACTATCTTACCTTCACATATGGATTAATATGAACTTAATAATAATGGAAATGCTAGAGTGGTTTTGCCATAGATTCATTAAAAATTACATTTTTTGGTCACAGCACCCCTAGTGTTGGATACAGGAAAAGTATTCAAAGGCCAAGAGTAGATTTTCACATTTTAAACTTTATAGCATTTGACTCACATTTAAATATTAGGGCATTGTGGAAATTATAATCACCTTATTTTGCAACGTGGAAGTAAGCATTTTATTTATTTTTTTGAATGTGCGAGACTTCTGATTCTTCATCTATTATAGGTAAATAAATGTAAACAGTAAAACCATTTATGCTGAAAAACTGTTTATAATTATGAAATACTGAAATATCATGATAACTGTCAATATGACTAAGCATAACGGACTGGGTTCGCACAGAAAAACAACACATAACAGCCTCCAACATACAAATTACAAATGGCCAAATCCGAAATCAGATTAGCCACATTAGAAATAAGGTGATATGGTCAGTACAAAAGTTTTGTGTCAATATACAAAACAATTTTCCGATCTCATTTGCCATTTGGTGGCTTTGCCAACAATTTAACATATTTTTGGAGAACTGTGCTGAGCACCTAACATTCATTTGATGATTGAATTTGATCTGAATATGATGTGAGCCAATTTTGGCATAGATTGGACAAATTTAGAAGGGGGAACAGTAAACTAAAATGAATTGAGGAATTGTTCATCATAGTCACCAAACTGATCAAGGTATTATGGCAATCATACAGAGCAAGTTAATGCCAATACGTCAAAGTGTTGCAAAGATACAGCCTGTATTGTCCGTATGGAGCCAAATTTGTTGGTCTCTTACATGACTTTGAGCAACATCCTCTCCAAAACAAAGCTGCTGAGACATGCAAAATTGAGTTTGGTGGAAATTAAACCACCAAGAGCACTGAACCAAGAAGGGGAAAATATTGTTTGTAACATTTTGTCTCTTGTTGGTCATTTATATTAATGCATTTGCCTGATACTTTAATACATTGCATTTAAGGAATATATTTTATAAGTCGATGCATTCCCTGGGAATCGAACCCATGACCTTGACTTTATTAGCACCATGCACTACAGTTTGAACTATAGAATTCCTGGGACAACATTCAGAAAAAGTCAAAATTTTAGGAAAAAGGGGAGCATTTCAAAGAGGCCATAATCATCATTTCCCTATAATTTGGTTAGGATTTGGACTTACATGAAGCTTGTATAATTTTGAGACTGTTGTTGTTGGTTAACTAAAGCACTCTCTATTTCATGTCATATACAGCAGGGTTTTTCAAACTGGGGTTTGTGCTAAAGCTGCAGGGGCTTTGTGAATTGATGAAATACGATTAATTATTAAATCATAAAAATGTAAAACTAATGTTAAAATAAAAATAAAATACTTACTAAAAAAGATGAAATATTTTGTTTACCTGCATTTCATGTGAACATTTACCAACATAAAGAATTATAAACATGCAAATGTGTTGAAATGATTGAAAAATTTGCTTAAAATAAAATATTTCCATAAAAAAAAAAATTGTGAATCCTTGCCATACAGCACCAAACTAACTGTACTGTAGTTTTAATCTACATTTGTTTGGTTCTACATGCATATTAATGCAAGAATATTTATGTGATGAATATAACAGGGAGGTAAAACAAAAAGGACGGGTTTCATATAACTTCCCAAGATGTCACATGGCAAAAGCAAAACCCAATGGAATGACAACAAAAGAAAAGATGAATGTCAGGTTATATTTTAATATCACTTTTCCTCCAATACCAGCAAAACACACGAAACTACATGTTCATTGCTTCATCACTCCAGTCGCTATGGGAATGCAAACGAAACACATGGTGGAGCTGTCAATCACGAGGGCCCCGCCCTCCAGTATCCACACTCATGATTAAAGCAAAAACTCAAAAAAACAAAAGAGAGATATAACAGAGAAAGAAAACATCATAATGTGCGTAAAACATCTCGTATGGTGATCCTACCCGAAACAGAGCGGGCAGGGCTAGTTTATCATATCTGACATGAGCTACAGCTATTCCATTCACAGTTCTCATTTCACCCCACGCAGGGGAAAACTTCACCTCTGTCACGTCCTGATGTGAAATCTCTGAACACACGCACGCAATGGGGCTCAGAAAAGGTGCAAACAAAAGTCGAGGCACGGTTGAAGTGACACTAAATTGGCCTCTTGTATTTCCACTCCCCCTCTGAGAAAGAAAAAAAGCATGAAAACAGAGTAAAGAAGTAAAGTGTGGCACAATGACACAGAAGGCCTTAATGCAAAGGGTGACCTGTTAACTGATTTAGGTAGCAAAACTCTTGCTGTACTGTTTTTTTGTATGAAACACTTTGCTTAGTAAAAGTGTTACTAGATACTGTGAGGGTGAATTAAAAAAGACTTGTCAAGAAAATGTCTTGGTTATCTTTTACCCATAAATCAAAAGTAAAAAAAAAAAAAATGCTTTTAATGCTTAAATCTTTCTAAATTAAAATAAAATCAATCAAATGGGATGAAATATGACCCGGACATGTTCGTGACAAATGTAAATCAGCGAGTGTAAACCTGTTAAAGTCTTCTAAATGAGTAGTTTTATCTGTAAAACTACACCATATTGCATATAAATATGTACACCGAGTGTGGATCTGTTGCTATGACAAAAGTACGTACAACTGCGTATAATACACAACTATAGCAACACTATGCCTAATATCCACAGGGTGTTCACAGTAAAACCAAAGGCCTTTGTAAGGTGTTGTCAAAACAGAGTGACTGACAGGATCAATAACCCAGACTGAGTCTACGAGAGGTGCAAACGACTCATGTTGGGTTGGCGGTGGAAACCCTTTGGCACTAAGATACACAGTCAGAAACTGCTGCGAGCAGGATATGCATCAAGGCAAACCAGAGTGTGTGTGTTCTTGTGTGTAGCGACCAGTTTGGCTCTTAAACAGATGTACGTCCATGCTGATCTCTTTAGCTTAAGGTCTTTCGATTAGAAAAACCATGTATTGTTCATGTAAATTTGTGATTTACTTATATATTTTTATACTATAAAGCTGCTATAAAGTGATGCTTCGGTTCTAGCCTGTCATTTTAGATCTTTACAGAAGTGAAGAGCAAACAGAAAAGGGCCTAAAACAGAACTTAGTGGAACCTCTAAGATTTACATTCTATGCAAAATAAGTCTCTAAATAATTGTCGTAACAGTCCAAAGCAATGCAGCATGTGCACTGACATAGAATGAATGACTTGGTCTGTCATGAAACAGTCATCGTTCTCCAATGAAAGTAAATGACTGACATGCATTTTTGATGCAGTGACAAGAAGGGAAGTGAATAAATTAATCATCTCTCTAGAAAATCATCTCTCTAGAATAAAATATCACAACCCTCCTATAGCAACCCTCCTAAATTTCCTATTGAGAGTCAATATACTCCCAAGATATCTTGGGCCACATCCAGACTCTATATTAGTTACATATGAAGTGCGTCATGCAGAAATAAAAGTGCATTATGGCTGTGGCTGTAGTGGGGCTCTAACTTGTACAGTAGCGTGTCATGAAAAATAAACATCAGTGAATAATTCACTACATGTCCAAATAAAAACATCTAAAACATGTCAGTAAGCCACAGCGTTAGAGGGCAAGAAAATGCGACACAGCCAAAGGTCAACAAGCAGAATGTGTGATGGGAAATCAGGACCGTGGATTAAAGAAACGATAAAGAGAAAGTCAGAGAGGGGGAGAGAATGAGAGAGAGAGGAATCATCACACGATTGGCCACTGCTGTGCCACCGCTGCTCATGATGGAGCATCCAGGCACTGGGGTCTGTTCAGGTTTAAAATGAGCTGGTGGAGGGTGTAGTCAATCTCTTCCCAATGTAGACCCTAAAAAAAGGACATAGATTTAGTATATTTCTGTATCTTTATTTATATATATTTGCAATGCTAGTCTAAATGCTGGATGAATTAACTATATCATTTGGTGAAAGAATTTTTTTTTTTCTGAACATATTTCTGTCCAAAATAACTGGATTTGCTGTAGCTTTTCTGAAAAATTAAGGCCTTTCCACACTGAGCGTTATGCGAAAAAGCGAGGCGAATCGCAGACGAACGATGCTTTCACACCGAACGCGAAACGATTTTTTGCCTTCTGCTAATTCACGCCTGCACGCTAGGTGGCATTAAATTAAGATAAACAAGGTTCTATACCAGAAACACAAACTATCTATAATGCTTACAAGAATAGGCTACATCCTAAAATATAATTAGAAGTACAATTAGCATCAAGCTACACTTGAAAAAATCATTAATGTATTTGCTTACCCACTTTAAACCATCATCGAGTGCTTGTAATAACTTGAATTTATTGTAACAATAAATTGTGATCTTTAGTTGATTTTGATTAATAAGCAGACACATGCACTCTTTGTATGTTTAATAACGCTACACTGCTAATATTTGTCATAAACATCCTTTATTGCTATAAAAATACCATGAGCTGCATACAAAACACATACAGAAAATATATCGTCATAATCATATGTCTATTTGCTTTCATATTTCATGTGTAGAAAAAGAGTGAACGCACTCTGACTCATAACACTCGCGCACGTCGAACAAAACTGACGGTGCTCTACAGATCACATAATTCAGTGGACAATTAATAGAAATGTTATTCTGTATAAAGAACATGTGAGAATAAATCCACTCTCTTCTCTTATCCGGGATACTCTTTTTCTGTGTTTGTTTACACTGGTTTTCGAAACAGTGCCACAACTCTTGCCTTTTTGTGCAACAGCAGCTGCTCCGGTCACGTGATCCTAGCTCAAATCTTATTGGACAGCCCGTGCTTTCGCTTTACGAAACTGAAAAGATTCATCAGACTGGTTCGAAAAAAAAACGCGGAACCGAAACATTTTCGGTTTCGCGAATGTTCGCGGTCTATGTGGAAGCATCCATAGAAATCTATTGTTTTGTTCCAGCGCGTCATCGCGTTCATTTAGCTTTTTCGCGCTCAGTGTGGAAAGGCCTTTAGGGTTTTTTACACAAAGTATATGATGCAAAAAGGAGATCCAGACAGACAAGTCGATGCAGATTAATTAAATTCGGTGCGCGAATGTTCGCGGTCTATGTAGAAGCATCCATAGAAATCTATTGTTTTATTCCAGCGCGTGTCATTGTGTCCGATATTCGTTTCGCTTTTTCGCGCTCAGTGTGGAAAGGCCTTTATATTCCCATTTTGTAGTGTTTTTGCAGTGAAAACACACAAAAAAAAAAAAATGTCAGTAAGAATACAATTATTTACAAACAATTTAGTCCATTTTAACTGAACATGCATTAGGCAATAAAATATTAAGACAACAAAAAAGTAATAGCCTCTTGATTAGATCTCGATAGGTAGAGCTGGTATAGGTCTTCGTGTGTGTGTGTGTGTGTGTGTGTTGACACTCACCCCAGTCCCAGAGCCAGGATGTGGGTGAGCAGCAGCGAGGGCATGAACATTTTGAGGAACTCGGCGGAGAACACGCCACCTTTCCTCATAGCACCCGTCTTTCTCATGCTCAGAGACACCGATCCAGAACGCTTTGGGTGGCGGAAGTGGAATTCCCTGCGAACGGTCAAAGAAGAGCATACTTATATCACATTGAACTTTGTGTCAAATACTGTTTAAATGGCAGAACAGTTCTGTTGTGAGTTTGGAACTTCACTGAGGGATTAAAATGAAATGAAATAAATAAAAACTTTTTTTAAATAAATAAAATAGACTTTTTGAAATGAATAAAAATAAAACATTTTGAAAAAATTATTTTAAAACATTAAATAACAACAACAACAACAAAATAATAATAATAAAAAAAATAATGGTAAACAAATATTTTAAAACAAAGTAAAATATTTTAATACAAATTAAATACATTTGATATAAAATACATACTTTTTAAATAAATAAATAAATATTTTTTTAATAAATAAACTTTTTATAAAAATAATAAAATAAAAGAAATTGCAATTATATTTCAGTTTCAGAGAACAGACTATTTTATGAATTAGGTACATTGGATTTGTTTTGGAATTAATACATTTTTCATGTGGAAAATTATGAACATACACACAAACTGGTTTTATTTGGATGTAGGTTCTTACTTCGGAGGAATGTTCTCTGGTCGACTGGACCAGTCTGCCACCCAACTCTCCCCTTTATCCATGAGGATATCATCTTCTTTGTCCTTCTCCAGACTATCATCTTCTGACTAAAAAGATGAGAAAAGACCAGCATGTTTGATAAATGCCACTCATTACAGTGTGCGTATTAAATAACAGCACTATCACTGATAGATAGTAGCTCAATGATAACTGTAGATTATTGTAGATTCATATTCTGTGCGCTGCTCTTACCTGACAGTTTCTCTCGCTGGGCATCTCCACATCAAACGTGATCTGCCCCTCATCTTGGTCAGGACTGTGTGGTCGTGGTGGGCTGTAAACACATCAGAGAAATGTAAAATACTGATTACGTTGAACAAGAGAACAACAGATGCCTGAATCATGTAAGGAGTGAATTGAACGTTACTGAGAGCTGCAGACTTAAGAATAGAACTGCTAAATCAAAGCAGTGCTGCCCACAGATGCCTCCTCCCTAAGATGAGCCTGTGTGGATGAATTGAATTTGAATCTATGAATTTACTATCATTTTCAGTCTTCAGTCTTATTATTATTATTTTTTGGTACTAGTGCTGTATTTGTCTTGAAAATGAGAGAAATAAATATGAAACTTTTTGGTGCATGAAACATTGGTTAATGTTATACAAGTAAGTGGACCTTAGTTACAATTAGTTACAAGTGAATATGGTCACTAACAGTCCTCCAAGTGATTTTTTAATACTACACAAAATGCCATTATTACCTGACTGATGTCACTAAAATATCTTGAGGTGTTGTTATTGTTAATTAAAAATAAAACTATTACAAACTCTTTTTGGCCATTTGAAATAAAGCTAAAATAAAAGAAATGATAAACATTAGATGAAAAACTTTAAATGAAATTTAAACGAAAATGATAAATGTTGCATTGGCAGCTAACTGAAATAAATATACGTTTCTGCTGAAGTGCTGAAATAAAAATAAAGCTAAATAGAAATTAGAAACAAAATATAATTATTAAAAAACGATATAACTAGGAAAAAAAGAAAATTAAATAAAAACAACAAAAGAACATAATAAAATGACAAAAAATGAAATGAAAACTGAAAATATAAAAGTAAAAGCCAATTCAAAATATGAATACATATTTTAATAGTATATAAATAATACTAAAATAACTGCAATTTGGGGCAGTGAATCATTGTATCATTGAGATACAATACAGTTTTTAATAACAGTTCAAATTAATTTTTATTTTAACATTTTCCATTTTAATTTTTGTGAAAGTTTTAGCAATTTTGTTTTGTGTTTTTGTCATTTTATAGTTTTTTCTTTATATTTCTATATAGCTCACTTATTTTATTGAAGTTTTAGTTATTTTAGTACATCAAGTTAAACTAAATAAAAATGTTGAAAAAAAATGTTGCCTTGGAAACTAGCTTAAATATATATATATATATATTTTATTTCAAGTAAAAAAAGTGATTTTAGTTATCTATAATAACCCTTGTCCTGGGAGCAGTACATTCATCTTTAGCCAATCAGAAACACTCTCTTCCTGTCAATCATTCTGAGTGTTCTGGTTTGAAGGGCGGAGTTTCTGAGAATAAAGGGTTGTGAGCGGCCTGTTTCTCTGCTCGTACCTGTTGCAAGACGAGCTGCTGGGGCTGGACTCGTGCTGGGCATCCAGTAGGATTTTCTCCATGTCTCCGTTATGGATAGAGGAGGAGGAAGGCACATGCTCCAGTCCTCCTATCAGGACCTCCTCTTCCTCCTGCACGGTCTCCAGGGCCTGTGAAGCCTGGGACTCGCCTTGGTTCCTGTTCCCCAGCAGCGAGAGCAAACTGGGGTTCTGCTGCTGCGTGTTTCCGTTCATCTCCAGCTCCACCCAGGACCCTGAAAAAACCCAAACAGTCATTAGCATTAGCGTGCATCAATCGTTTAAAGGGGCCGACTTTATTCGTTTATTTATTTTGAATCCACTGTAAATGAGAGTTTCTTAGCATACGAGTCCACCGGTGTGGAGCTGAGCAAACGTTTTCAATTCTTTCTTTAGGCAGACCCATTCAGGGGATTGTGGGATTGACATCAGCACAGAATAAGCGAAGAGAGAGCCAAAAATGCACATTCTGCTCAAAAGGGAACATGAGACTGACTTGTGAGAACAAACATCCACTGTTGACCAGATGCAAACATGAGACACACATGTGTCCCGTCTTCCCCGCACTGTTGCTAGGCAAAACAGAAAGATCCACAGACAGGTCCCATGATGCTTCAATAACACAATGGAGTGGCAGGATGTTGCTAGGGTATTGCTATGCTGTTCTGGTTGGTTGAGTCCACACTGAAGTCTCTGCAGTTGCTCCAAACAAAATAAGTCATTTAAAATGTGTACTCATCATTGCAATATCAAGGGAATTAATCAACAACATTTGTCATAATCATGCAGCCCTAATGAGCCAGCGTCCTGTTTAAATCAGCACATCTAATTATGGCAAAATCCTTCACCAGCCCTCAACACTAAACTCTTGTAATTGCCCACAGTTACTGGCATGTTGCCATGGCAGAATGCATTCCAGCAGCTCTTCATCTGTGAGCATTTGTTGTCTCACTGCATCACAACAACACAAAATGGAGAAGACTTCAGACTTATATTGAAGGAGGGAACCCAGACAAATCTGGCAACTAGATTAACCACCCAGTAAACACTCAGAACACCCTAGCAACACCTTGAATAAAAAATATAAAAGATAGTTGACAGGCGATCTGACCAATCCAGTTTCCTCTTTGCTCTGCGATGTATTTTTCACTGCGTGATTTGTAGTGTGAGAGCGGCATTGTTTGTCGGGGATAGCAACAGTAACTAAGGTCTTTGCAAACGGTCAATTGTGACTTTTTATCTCAGAGTTCTTTTTTTCTTAGAATTGTGTGGTATAAACTCAAAATTGCGACTTATAAAGTAAGAATCGCATGATATAAACTCAAAATTGTATGTTAAAAAGTCAGAATTGCATGATACACTTGCAAATGCGACTTATAAAGTCAGAATTGTAAGATATTAAACTTCAAAAGAAGTGTGACTTTTTTCCCTCATAATTGGACTCGCAACTGTGAGTTTATATCTCACAATTCTGAGAAAAGAGTTCAGAATCGACCCTTTGCTGGGAGTTTGATTGACAGGTGATCTGACCAATCATAACAGTGAATCTGCCATTTTGTCCGACAAACAAACCAAAGCCGTGAAACAAACCAGACAGGAGAATAGACTAACGTCGGTGGACTTGAACTTGAAAAATGGTGTGTATTGACGTCTTTCCGCAGTTGAAAGAAGATACCTTCTGATGTTCATTCATGTTTAATTTGTGCTAGACCTAGTATAGAGAAATAGATGATCGGTTCACGTGCTGCTGAGGCACTACAGCAATCTGTCACGATACATTAAAGAGCCACAAAACGGTATTTATTGTTTGAATTTGAAAAACTGACAACATTTGAAAGCTGAGACTTTAGCTGCGTCCCAAATGCAACACTATACACTATATACTCAACTGTGTAGTGTATGAATTTTATAAGTTATTTTGTCATTAATAATCAGAGTTTGATAGCCCCTCCCCATTGGCGACGTAATAAAAGCTGCGAGAGTTGAGTGCATGAAGTGTTCAATGGCTGTATCCGAAAACTCTAAAATGCTACCTTCGGAGGCAGCATTCCAAGGCAGGAAGGCACGTCCAAATCCAAATTCTGCTTTACTTCCTGTCTCCGGAGGTGCCTTCTTATGATCGAATTTTGAAGGCAGCATAGATGTATCCTTCGCTGCCTTTGATATCCCACAATCCTGTGCGTTCCATTCCGTGACGGTTGAGCTCAAAAATAAAGATGGCGTCTGAAAGTTGCGTTTGGTGGTCAGTTTGTGTGTAAATGTATATTTCTGACTAACTTTTTGCACTTTTCATGTTATTTGTAGCGAGAAATCAGTATTATAGTAATTAAATATCCGTTTAGTTATCAAAAAAACTAGTTCTATTTTGTTGTAGATCATTAAACCGTTACGCTGCCTCAGAAGTCTGTCTGAAATCAGTTTCATGAGGTGCCTTCGTGCTAAAACAGGCAGCAAGTCAGCTGCCTAAGTTTTCGGATGCAGCCAATATTCCACACTTCATTTTTCAGTTATTTAAGTGCATCATCCGGGTATTTAAAGTACACTTTTTCTTTTTGGAATTTTCAGTGTGAACACACTACTTACACTATTTATACTATAAAACGGCATAGAATAATCAATAATGCATAAGTACGTGATTTGGGACGCACATTTTGTCTCATACCAGAAGTAACATGCTCTGTCTGGTCTGTCTGCACGTTGTCAGTGTCCTCTTTGCTCCGCGTTGTATTTTTCAAACATGATGTGTTGTGTGAGATGTAGCAACAGTAACAAAGGGGGGCGTGTCTTTGCAAAGGGTCAGTTCTGAGGAAAAAGTCAGTAAACTCAGTGATAGAAAGTCAGAATTGCGAGAAAGAAAACACGCATGCGCTGTATATTGTTTACATGTAGAGGAAAGCACGCGCATGCGTTGTGGAACTCTCCATAATGGTGGAATACGTTATTTGGAGAAGAATTGTTCAACAAAGTCGTTGTTTTTGTTTTCTTTGCACACAAAAAGTATTCTCGCAGCTTTGTAAAATTACGGTTGAACCACTGATGTCACATGGACTATTTTACCGATGTCCTTACTACGTTTCTGGGCCTGGGAACATTTCAGTTGCATTGCTGTCTATGGGAGGGTCAGAGAGCTCTCGGATTTAATCCAAAATATCTTAATTTGTGTTCCGGAGATGAACAAAGGTTTTACGGGTTTGGAACGACACGAGGGTGAGTAATTAATGACAGAATTTTCATTTTTGGGCGAACTATCCCTTTAAGCCAGCTTTTTTTTTTTTATCCCATGGTGGAAACTGGCGGCCAAAAAAGTGGTGAACAACTACATCAATGTGGTAAAATATTCAAATGAATGCAGAGATAACACACCAGCTCTAGTTGCACAACTAAACACACTGATCCTGGAGCAGCTCTGACGTTCCTTCACTGCAGGACCGGAGCGGGACGGAGGGAGGGATTATGTAATCTCTGGCACATCAAACCCTCTCCCATCCCCCTGCTGTGTCTGTAACCCAGATCCGTCTGTGTGCCACAGACGCCCATAAACCTACTATTCACCCTCACTAAACGCTAAGCAGTAAACAGGATGACTCATTTTCGTGAGTTTGCACCCTTTGAAAGACAGACTGTATCCTAAAACCTATTGAGTTGCCTATCTAGATAGCATTTTTGGGTATCACTGGATATTTAAATGCTTATAAATATTAAATGCAATAAAATTATTATTGGGTGAGACTTGATTTTACCCAGGAATTGATTGAATGGTGAAAATAAAAGAATTTTTATATCATGCTGCTGACTTGTTTGGACATGTTTCTTGGGGCTTCTTGAAAGATTTGAGACGGCTTTAGAGATACTGTTACCTGTCATAAATCACATGATAATAGACCTTAAATTACTTTATTACATCACTTTACAACTAGTGCAACCAGATCAGCAGGGAAATGCAGCTACAGCTGCTACACGCCCCATTACATATCAAATATTTTTAGATAATTTGTATGCTTTCATCTAACCAAGAGCATCCTACTCTCAGCTTTTACCATGTTTAAACTCATTGCACAGAATGCCACCGATATACCCAAAAAATCAGCACATATTCTGTCTGAGCAAGCTTATACATTTTCAAGATATTTGCAGAAATATGCATGAATGCATATGAAGATCCAGCTACATTATATTAAAATCTACAATGCTTGTGCAAGAATTAAAAATAATAGTAGTTAATTTTTGGTTCTAGATGAATGCAAACGACATGCATTACAAACCTTATAGTGTTATTCTAAAAAAAGGAAAAAGGAGGACAAAAATGAAAGAAATATGGTTTGCACTTCACTTTTTTTGCACTTTAGGTACATAAGGAATGTGAAAAATGAAGAAAATGTGCTCATCTGACCGTTTAATGATTTTTTTTTATGTTCTAATATTAAATGATTAATATTATGAGCTCAGTGCTTCCAGAGAACTGTTACATAATGCAAATAAACAGTTTCAAGTCTTGCCGTAATGATATCTAAATGCAAGCACTAATAGCTCATTGTTTCCGAATCGCAATCAAAGTGATTCAGTGATATCTGCTGAATAAATGAAGGTTGTGGCACACAAGTGCACAAATCTGAAGTACAATAGTGTGCATACGGATTCACCAAAACTGTACAAACAAAGGCCTCAATTGTCCTTAAAAACGTTTTTTTTTTAAAGTAAAGCTTAAAGTTAAAAAACAATATTTCTATGAAAGCATGTTTGAATACACAGAATTTTGAAATTCCTAATAAATTGCTGCTTTCAGGACAGGACATTGACAAAATTCATTTAAGCAGTGGCATTATTTAAAATAAACCTCTGTGCCCACTTAACTGTGGTATTATTGTGACAAAAGAAACTAATTAGTAAGATTTCAGTTTTTTTAAACATAATTTAATCAATATATTAACACACACGAAGGGGGCAGGAAAATAGTGCTCAACAGGAACGACTCTGCTACTAAACAACTAAACCAAAATGGGGCACACAATAAACAGTCAAATATTTAACAATACCCAGCCAAATTAAATTCAACTTCTTTATTTATTTACACGCCCCCCGCCTCCATTTTTCTCAGATCCCATCGTCGTCTTGTTTTGATATCCGCGAAGCCCCGCCTCCACGGCGCTCGAACTTAATCTAGAACGAATAATTGGCTTACGTTCCATCAATCATTCTGGGTTGCCATGCAACGCCACAGCGACTCCCGCTCCCATTCAATCTCATTCGCTCTCGCGTAAAGACGCCATCCTACGCTCCGCCCTTTCACCCCTCCCCTACGAGCGAGGAGGAAATTCCAGCCATTGAGCGAAGTGAGACAATAGATGTTGCATAACAGCGTTTTAAAGCTCCAGAGAAAAATGCAACCCACACAAACAACAGTTTTAAAGCGACATTAGGATCCCTCCCGAGTTCTTCCTGCAGAAACACGGACGGAGGTTTACCGTTGAGTCCCGGTTCTTCATTGTTGTTCAGCTGCGCGGCGGCTGCGGTGGACATGTTGCCTCTCCAGTCCGCTCGAGCTCCCGCCCCCTCGCATCTGCGGCGACGTCACAACATTCATTTCAATTTTCAAAATTCAATCTTCATTTCTTCACAACACATTCATTTCAATGATCCCTACTGAATAAAGGAAAGTTGCAGAAGCCTACAGAGGTGTGCAAAACAGAAGCATAATTTTAAAGTGTAAAACTGATAGAAACAGACAGATGAGTAAGCTCGAAAATAAGCTCTCTATACACAATATACATACAGACAGACAGAGAGAGAGAGAGATAATCACATATTCTGAGCAAGCTTATACGTTTTCAAGATATTTGCAGAAATATGCATGAATGCATATGAAGATCCAGCTACATTATATTCAAATCTACAATGCTTGTGCAAGAATTAAAAATAATAGTAGTTAACAGAGACAGATGAGTAAGCTCGAAAATAAGCTCTCTATACACAATATACATACAGACAGACAGAGAGAGAGAGAGAGATAATCACATATTCTGAGCAAGCTTATACGTTTTCAAGATATTTGCAGAAATATGCATGAATGCATATGAAGATCCAGCTACATTATATTCAAATCTACAATGCTTGTGCAAGAATTAAAATTAATAGTAGTTAATTTTTGGTTCTAGATGATGCAACGACATGCACTAGTCTTATAGTGTTATTCTAAAAAAGGAAAAAGAAGCAAAAAAATATGGTTTGCACAACTTTTTTTGCAGTTTAGGTACATAAGGAATGTGAACAATGAAATGTGCTGAGGTTTGCGGTCATCTGACCAGTTAAAGATTTTTTTTAATGTTCTAATATTAAATGATCAGTATCCATCTGATATTATTGATTCATCCATATTCTAATATTAAATTATCCATCTAGCTAGTAGACAAGAAGATAGAACAGAAAAAGAGCAGAACGCTAGTGTTAAAAGGTAATTTTTTGAAGAAATAAAAAGAAAACAAGTAGATAAAATAGAAAAAGAATAGAGAATGCTAGTGTTAGAGGGTCTTTTTTTTTTTTGAAAGAGAGAGAAAACAAGTAGATAAAATATAAATAGAGTGTGCAAGTGTTAAGACGGGTCAAGGGTTTTTTTTAATAAATAAAAAGAAAAGTAGATAGAATAGAAAAAGAACAGAGAACACCAGTGTTAGTGTCAACATTTTTTTATTAAATAAAAAGAAAACTAGAACAGAAATAGAATAATGTTAGTGTTAAGAGGGTCAAATGTTTTGTTTTATATATAAAAAATAAAAGAAAACAATTAGATATAATAGAAATAGAATAGTGTGTGCTAGTAGGCCGGTTTTTTAATAAACAAAAAGAAAAAGAAGTAGATAAAATAGAAATAGAATAGAAAGTGCTGGTGTTAGAGGGTCAAGAGTAGATGGAAGAGATGTGATAAATATCAGTCTATCTACAAACATTATAGAAGCATTAGGGATCATATGAAGGTATGGATGTTGCTCCTAAATTTATTGATAGACAGCGTCCAATGTTTACATGCACTGCCATCATGACAACCTAAAAACACGTTACTTCGGTTCACAGATCACCAACTCCTAAAATAGCTGAGGCACAGATTCATTTCTGGGTGTCCCATTTGTTCCCGCTAACGTACATGTGGAGCAGATGTTTAAAGATGAGTGATTCTGCTGCGCTGTATCATTTTCTCTTACCTGGTATATAATACAAGCATATTTAATTTGATTCTACTTTACTGAACTCCAAATAGAAAAATGACCCCAAGAGGTTTAGTTTTCAGTCTTAAAATGAATTTTTATTTTACACTTGGGGTTTTACAACCATTAAGATAAAGGTAACATACTTCAGGATTTGTTCATATACAGCAAGCCTGATTTCCATGTAAACACACTCTATTATACAGAATCATCCTGCACCAATCAACAGCATTAATACACTGAATACTGTCAAGGACATAATTTCAATTTTCGAAAATTCATATAAAAATATCTAGAGCATTCTTTACCCCATAGGAACCATTCTGTATTAAAAAGCTGCAAATAAAATGACACACATCAGCAAAGATGCTGAAAATCATAAAACATGCACATCTGCACAAACATTTACTTAAGACTCAAAACATTTGTGTCTCTCTATAAAACAATTAAAAGAGACCGATTCAAAAGTCTCCCTTTCCACAAAGACTAAGATATTGCATAAAATTAATGCCACGATTAGGGACTTAATGTAGGGAATAATGGAGCTATTTGGGAACCCTGCTTAAGTCAATTGCACTTGTGGACGAATATCAGGCGTTCGACGAGTGTTTGGTGAAGGAAACGTCCCGTTGCACCAGGCCTGAGTTGGGAAGGGAGCAATCAGTGCATGAGGAGTCCAATTGATTAATTATGATTCTGCAAACTTATTAAACAGGATTCTGCGGGTTGCTTAGTCAGTTTGGTTGCGTTTATAACCCAGCAATGAGTGATGCTTCCGATTAAAGCTAAAACGGACGATGTGCAAAATAAAAATAAAAAAACAAATACAGTAATACAACTAAAAATCCCTTCCTCCGGCCTACAGTGTATCAATTAACGTAATAGAATAACCCAAAGGTTTTTGTGTACTACAGTGGTTAATATTAAGACTATGAGTTTCAGGAGAGACCTTGTGCTTGGCGTGTATCCAGTCTGACTCTTGGAGCTAGGAATGGGGACGAAGCCGTTCGAAATTCCTAATTGGCTTTCTCCTGGAATATGTAAAGGTTATTGACTGTGGCCAGTGCGACGATGCTATCCTGAGGATGCCAGGAGGTGTAGAGGATCTTTCTGCTGAAGTCCAGGCAGTCGACGCCGATCTCGCTCCTCTTGCGCCGGCTCCCCGTGCACACGCGCCAGGTCTTGAGCGGGCATCCAGGGGAGCCGTTCTCCCACGAGGCTTCCAGGGTCACGTCGCGCTGGGCGTCGCGATTGAACATCCGGAAGAAGTTGTTGTAAGAGCCCGTCATGACCTCGCTGAGACCAGAGATGAAAAATTATGAGATAATGAGGCGAAGATTAATTATTTCTTCCTTTAGAAGGCAAAAAACAACATCTTTATGGTAATGACTGTTATTACCAAAATGCTTAAATATAGGGCTGATATACACTACCACTCAAAAGTTTGGGATCAGTAAGACTTGTAATGTTTTTTAAAGAAGTCTCTTCTGCTCATCAAGGCTGCATTTATTTGATCAAAAATACAGAAAAAAACAGTAATCTTGCAAAATGTTATTACAATATAAAAAAATGGTTTCTATTTTAATATCCCTAAAAATATCATTTATTTCTGTGATGCAGCGCTGAATTTCCATCAGCCATTATTACTCCAGTATAAAGTGTCACATGATCCTTCAGAAATCATTCTAATATGCTGATTTATTATTATAATTATCAATGTTGGCGACAGTTGTGCTGCCAAATATTTTTTGGGAAAATGCGATACTTTTTTCAGGATTCTTTGATGAATAAAAAGTTAAAAAGAA